GGCTTTGAATTCAAACAGGTTAGCAACCGTGACAGTTGACACACAAAGCAGGAAAAGAATGAATACCGAAGTTTTCAAAACTGTTTATTTCTTTTTTATTGTAAAGTGAAGAAAGACTACACTCACGAGAATACAGAGTGGAATAAAGGTGACAACCACTGGGAGCATCAACAAATAAAAGCAAATGTAATGATAGAAACCTTGGTCAGTTAAATAACCTGCTGCTGTCATTCTGCACATCTCTGATGTTGCTGCTATTTTAAAATATGCATTACTGTAAAAATGTCCATAGCTGTAAATTGGTTATTTACTCTCCAGGTGGACAGTTTTATATTGGTAAAACACTTTACAGTACAATATTTTATCGTTCATATTTTAACTCTTCCCTATTATTTTATACTTATATATTTTTCTGCCCTTAAATTACAGCCAAACCTATTTACACAGTAAAAAATAAAAACCATTAGATAAATCAAACATTACCGCCACATATCTGACTCAATAACCATTAACACAACTATTTTCATTCATGTCAGACAGAACCATTCATACTTGTATTATTTTAAACTAAACTTCCAATATTCACCTTTGTTCAGTGCCAAGTACCTTTTTCCTCTGATCACGGAGCAACCGGCTTGCTCTGTCTCGCAATGAATTCTGGGATATCCAAGGATAGCGAGGATACATTGGACCATCCTTAAAATCGGGCAAAAAGAAGGACGCATTTTAAGGCAACATAACAAGGAGTCTTGGAATCCGACCAGACCTCTGCGCTGCGCTATGACCTAATCGTCCTTCGAATCTGGCCTTCTGAGGATGCATACGCAGGCTGTACCAAGTATGTTAATATATCATTTACTGATATATAAATTTTATGGAAATTACCACTGGCAAAAAAAAAGAAAACTTTTTGTATGTTATCCATTCTGTTTTGCTGGTTGCTTTAATGCATAGAGGCTCAGGCCTCAACTTCTCATAAAGACTGACAGACAACATCATGCTGCTCTTGATCGGAGGGGTGATCACACCCATCCCAGAGTGGACTCAACAGATGATTAATGAGCAACATGCTCATGAAATCCACTGCATTTTAGAGCATATTTAATGCTGTTTTATGACTACATTTATAAAGTTGGACAGTAAATATTCAACCAATAATAGCTTCTGAGGGTCCAAAAGACAAAATGCAAGCTCAGAGGGGACCGTGCTTTTTCTGCTGCAGCTCCTAAGCTGTGGAATGATCCGCCTCTGAGCATAAGACAAGCCTCTTCTCTCGCTGTTTTTAAGTCCCTTCTTAAGACTCATCTTTTTTCCTTGGCTTTTGGCACAATTTGAGAGGTTTTACTTTGTTTTATTCTCTTTGTATACTAATTTGTATTTTACACTTTTTTTTTATTTTTTTTTATTGTATTTTATGATTGTGTAAAGCACTTTGGTCCTGTCCGGGGCATAAAGTGCTTCTTAAATAAAGTTGGTATGGTATGGTATGGTATGGTATGGTATAATTTGTAGGACATTTACAGGGGAGGTTTAGCCTTTAGTATTCAACAATAAATTTCACCTGTACTATAAATATATGTGTAGGACTACATACATACTTAAAAAAAACATAGTGTGGTGTCTCAATATGAGAAGTGCCTTCAGGTGTGACCAATCATGGCAGCTCCTATACAACCATGTCTGTCACTGACAGACTGCTTGGCAGGGGCAGGGCTTCCTCCATTAAACCTGTGTCCTACACATGACAGTCTCACATGCTTCTCTCATAACCTTGCAAGAAAAATAGTGTGGTTTTCAGCAAACAGGGGTCATTCTGGTAACCAGAAGTTGAATCTCAACTTGAATCACACCAAGCCTGCATGTAGCGACAGTGGAGAGAAAAACTCCCTTTGAACAGTAAGAAACCTCCAGGAGAAGGAAACAGAAGCAGACATACAGAAAGAAGCATATATACAAAAGGTGACTGTTAACTAGAAAGACACAGCCAGGCAGACGAGCTTGGAGCCAGCTCCCATTTCAGAGGACAAAGAAGAGAACATACAGTGAATTGTAGTAAGAGAAACCGGACTTTACAGAAAAACGGGCAATGCTCCAATATCTATAAACAATATTGCTGATGGCAGCAGCACAGCTGATATTTACTGCTGATATTCACAGTCTTAATGTATTTGCATGCACAATACATAATACACATCAATGATCGGGGAAGTCAACTGTGGAAATCTTGATGGAAATTTATGATGATGGCATAGATTTTGAATGGTGTTGCTATCAAGATGGCCTTGTAGGCAATATGGTCTAACTAGATATTGCTAGTAATTTGTTGTGTTTTTATTTGTTGGAAGATAGCAAACCTGTTCAGCCTCCTCAGATGTATGAGAAATATGAATGGATGGATGGTTCAAAAAGCAGCTGGTGTCATTCATTTGATCTAGTGACAGCTGGTTGGTATATGCAGCCATAAGGTCTGCTATGTTTGCAGCTGCCAGCAATAAGTCCTACAGAATAGTGAAAGTCACAGACTGAATTTACAGAAGAGAGCAGTGGTAATGATGGTTTTAGTTCTGTTGTGTGACAACCTCAGCATACAGCTGAGGCCCTTCTACAAAAGAAAAGCAGAAAAACTGAATTTTATAGTCGAAGCATAACAAATACTTTAGCGTGTTTAAATACTGTCACAACATTTCAAATATATGTAATTTTAGGAAACATAAGACCAAGGTTCTTAAGTTTGGTATTGGAGTTAAAGCTAGTGTTCAGAGCAGGTAACCTGACTAAGCAATTTATTTTCAGATTTGGTGTTCAATAGACAAAAACCCAATTTATTTGCTTTAGTTAGGGAAAACTATATATGTGTTTAGGCAAATGTATTATTGTCTAATGGCTGTGCAATAAGTTTAGCAAATCAAAATATATAATATGAAAGGACAAAACAATGAAAGAAAAACGAAAGTGAAAATAAAATTAGAGATTTATCTGAAGTCATGTGGTTTACCAGAGCAGGTAATGTTATTTAGCAGAGGAGACAATTGCTGCTTACTCATTTTGCAGTAGAGCAGCAAGACCAGAATGTTTCAACATTTATCAAGGGTATTTTGGGGTGAGTACATTTTACTTCAAATTGCACAAAGGCTGTAAAAAATATTCCAAACAAGCAAATTTATCTATTTAATGTATTTTATTTTCTCATATTTTATTGAAATTTCTTTGTTTCAGTCTCAAGTTTTTTAACCAGTAAATTCTGTCAAAAATGCTTGTATCTTTTTATTAACAGCTTATTTAATCTAAAATTACCATCCATTTCTGCATAAGGTCTACTTATCAGTGTTACTGACTAGCAGATGTGATATTGGGAGATATGTGAACCTCATTTAACCCTAATATTGTTCTATGATTAGCCCGTCTGTTTTGGGTCGGTCTCAAAAGGTGTAAGCTGGAGGGATACAAGATAAATTCTTGTGTGTTTGTGAATGCATAAATACAGTACCATGAGAGTTCAGCTTTTAGACAACGTTAGAAAACTATGTTAAGGTAAAGTAAAAATCAGAAACATTGAGTCAGTTATAGGTCTATAATTGACCAAGTCATCTGGGTCAAGAGATGGTTTCTTAAGAAAAAGGTTTAATTATAGCAACCTTAAAAGCCTTTGGTACATATCCTTGTAACAGGGAGAGATTAATCACATCTATAATGGAGGACAAGATCAAATGGAATACTTCCTTAGATAACCTGATTGGAATTGGACCTAACATGCAAGTTGAAGGCTTAGATTAATAAAGCACAGAGGACAGCAAAAGTGTTGAAGGTTGTAGTTCTGTTTTGTGACATCCTCAGAACACAGTTGAAGCATTTTGTAGAAAAGGTCCATAATACCTGCATTTTGTGTTCAGAGCATAACAAACACGTTTAATTTTTATAAATACTGTTGCAACATTTCAAATATATGTCATTTTAGGAAACATAAGACCAAGGTTCTTAAGTTTGGTATTGGAGTTAAAGCTAGTGTTCAGAGCAAGTAACCTGACTGAGCTATTTATTTTCAAGGTGCCCTGGTCAATAGACAAAACCCAATTTATTAGGCTTTATTTAGGGTAAACTATATGAGTTTAAGCAAATTTATCATTGTACGATCCTGTGCAATGATTTTAACTAACCGTAATATGAAAGGAAAAAACAATAAAAGAGAAATGAAAGTGAAAACAAAATTAGGAGTTTTATCTGAAGTCATGTGGTTTACCAGAGCAGGAAATGTTATTTAGCAGAGACAATTACTGCTCACGCATTTTGCAGCAGAGCAGCAACACACAAATAGACAATGGTTCACTTTTGTTTGCCTTTCAAACGGAAGTTCTGGTATTTTGGGGTTAGTGCATTTTACTTCAGATAAGTCTTTTAGATATTTACTGCAATTGATTCACTAAAGCTATTAAAAATATTTATTACAAGCAAAATGTCTATTTTTTTAATATTTTATTGAAATGTCTCTGTTTCAGTCTAAAGTTTTTTTAACCAGTAAATTCTGTGAAAAATTATTTACATATTTTTATTAACAGCTTATTCAATCTAAAATTACCATCTTGGTCTTTTTGTGCTTAAGGTCAGCCTATGGGAGACCCGGAAGACTCTGGTAAGGTAGTGACTGGTAGATGTGATATTAGAAGATATGTGAACCTCATTTAACCCTGATATTGTTGCATGATCAGCCCGTCTGTTTTGGGTCAGTCTCAAATGGTGTAAGCTGGAGCAGTACAAGATAGTCTCTTGTGTGTTTGTAAATGCACAAATGCCATGAGAGTTCAGCTTGCAGACAAGGTTAGAAACTGATGTTAAGGCAAAGTAAAACTCAGAAACACTGAGTCAGTTTAGAGAAAATAAAATCCTAAACTAAATTTATCACGGTATACCTTTACAGTTATACTTTTTAAACTCATGACTGACATGAGTAAAGAAATATTCAGGTACTAGTTCACTTACCATTCTCTGTTTTTCCTTTAATAAAGCTCAGGTGAAAGAGTCACCACGTAAGTGATTACATTTTGTTTCTGAAAATATTTTATTCATCTTTGGAAAATAGTAGTTGATGTTTCTGTTCAGTTCTAGATGAACCATGGAGGGAACTACGCTGGAGGTGAGTTAACAGTAGCACTATTACCGCTCATCATTAACTGCCAGTTCATTGCTGGCAGTTTGTTCACAACCCTAGTGAAATGTAGAATTTGTGCATCACAGCTTACTGGAGGAGAAAAGCATAGAAAAAATGCAAAGCTCAGAATAAGTAATTGAGGTTCTGTTGGGTACCTGGCAGAAATTTGGCCTTAAAGACATTTTGATACAGGAGGAAATGGGGGAAAGAAGCGGTGGGAGGAGGAAAATGTAGGGAGGTGATGGAATGCCTGATTATTTCTATCATCATAGTGGATCCTCATTAACTGCAGAAAAATCACAAAAACGTTGCTAGGGGATTTGAAGAATTTGCATCTTTTTGTAAGTTCTTAAACACAAAATTATAAATATATGAAATGACAAAAAAAACTTGACTTTAAAGTTTTAGTGAAAATATTGAAAATATATATGATCTAACTTAGATTATTTTAGTTTTACTGATGGTCTTTGGTTCCAATCAGGTTTTGGTAGAATGTGTTTTTGTTGTGTCTTTTGGCCTTTGACAGAACTAACAATTGAATGTACTCGATGTTCTCAGTGAAAAACACCAGGATCTTCAATATATTCAAGAATACAAACCTGAAAAAGATGACATCAGGTACCTTCGAGTGCTTCTTTATGGACCCGTTGGTGCTGGGAAGTCCAGTTTCATCAACTCTGTCAGTAACGTCATTCGAGGTCGAATGACAATTCCTGCTTTGGCCAGTGCAATGACATCTGACCAAAGTTTTACCAAAAAGGTAAACAAAAAGCTAATATGCTTAGCTCGATCTTGTAGAACTGTGACAATGCAGTGCAATAGGAATGAAAAGAACCAGAAATATAAAGATGGGATCCTTTCAGTAGTCTTTTGCACACTACTCTGCATGATCTTGGCTCTGATGATTGGTTTCATTGTTCATTCGATTCACCTGCCAGTTGCAATTTACCTCGTCCTCAGGGCATGCACTGCACTTTAAGATCAGATTAGTGACTCACACGTTCATAATCTTGCTCCACCAGTTTGACTTGGTCACAAACCTTTGTTTCTTTCCTACAGAGGTTCCTTCCTTAGACACCATAGCTGCTAACTACAGATCAGTAGTTTTAATAAATAAAAGTTTTTTGAAATATCATACTGCCTGTCCTTCTGAATACTGGATTCCCTGTTCTGAGGCTTAACAGAATAATCTGGCAAATATATATATATCCATCAGGGGCGTTCAGACATGGAAGAATGTATAACTCAGCCTTAATCAGGCATGCAGGAAATCCAGACACATTTGAGTAATCAGGCTACTTCTGCTCCAACGTGTCTGCCTTCGACGGCTTCTGCTTCTATGTCACCTGCCATCAGACCTGTTGTTTAGGAGCCATGTCTGTGACCCCCTGAACTGTGTAATGGCAATCATGCACAGTGTCTGGCTTTTCTCACTCAATGCAAAATTCATTTCAAACTTCAGTCTTCAGCGTACCTTTCAGATACGTCCGAGGTAGCCTATATTGTCTCACTTCCAGCCAGCAAATCAAGCTGTGGGGAACTTTTGAATGTCAGAAAACCCCTAGTTTATGGAGCTCCTATAGCGCCTTCTCGCAAGAACAAATATGAGTTTTCTGCCCAGTTCTTTCCATACAAAGGGTCTCAGACTTCCATTAATCAATTATAGAAATGACTGTATCAGCAAAATGCATTTTCTGTTAATTAGCCTTTTCTCCTTTTTTTAAGTATGAAACTCATAAATTCATTAAAGGACGAGGAAGCTCAAAGACATTTTACCCTGTGGTCTTCAGCGACATCATGGGTCTGGAAGAAGGGGAAATACAAGGAGTTCATGCAAGTGACATCAAGCTGGCTTTGGAAGGACATGTAAAGGAAGGCCACAAGGTGCAGCAACTGCAACGACCAGTTCTGAAAAATATTCTAAAATTAATAAAATAATGGAAGTAGCCACAATTTAAAGATAAAGATTTTATTTCTTTGAACAAATTCATGTTAAAGATGATGTTATTTCTAGTTCAACCCAGTAGGTCCTCTATCTGAAGGTGACCCAGGCTACAACCCGACACCCTCTGCTGATGACAGAGTTCATGTCTTGGTCTGCGTGATGTCTGCCAACGCCCCACAGATTAAACCATCAGTTCTAGAGAAAATGAAGAGGGTCAGAGAAACAGCCAGTGATCTGGGTGAGTTTAAAAATAAGGATTTTTATTTACATGACATACTAACAGAAGAAATCCAAAACAAGTTAAACTGTCGGTGTCCATCCATCCATATTTTCTGACTATTCTGTCAGGGTCACTGTGGGGCTGGTGCCTATTTCTGGCAATTTATGGGCGAAAGACGGGGTACACCTGGACAGGTCACTAGTCCATCACGGGGCAACACAGACACAGAGTCATATAACCATGCACACACATACACCTACGGAGAATTTGGAGAAGCCAATTAACCTCAGAGTAATTTTTCTGGACAGCGGGAGTACGCTGAAGTACCAAGAGAGAACCAACGCAGGGAGAGAGAACATGAGAACTGCCAGTGTCTCTGGCACAAATCTGTAGAAATCTATATCTGCATTTACTGTCGCTCACTCTAACTTTTCAAATGATAAAACCACAAGCAGTGTTTACTTGAATTAGTTTGTTTACCTGCAGGAATTCCTCAAATGGCCATAATGACACGCATTGATGAAGCCTGCGAAGAAACTGAAAAAAACTTGAGAAATGTGTACAAGAGCAAGCACCTAAAGAAAAAGGTGAGATTCAGTCACTTCGTCCAGAGATATCATACATATTTTAGATTGTAACTGTGATTTTTTTAATTTTTAAGATGAAAGATTTCAGTGCAGCAGTGGGAATCCCAATGAACTGCATCTTTCCTGTGAAGAACTACAGTGCCGAAATCAACCTGAACGATGATATTGATACTTTGATTCTGAGTGCCTTGAGGAAAATGATCGACTTTGGAGATGACTTCCTTGAAAAGATTTAAAATGGGCTTTAGAAGACACATTGTGTCTTCTTTACTTTACCAATGATTAAGAAAATGTTTTTTTTTTCATAATGTAGTGTCTGATTTGGGATACTTAGTAATAAGAACCTTAAACTTTCTACTATTGATTTATTGAAATTTTCTCCTGTGACGGTCATTTAGTCATTTATTTGGGAAGGTAATGAGTTTCATAAAGTATCTTTGTCATGGCTGACTGACTCAGTCTGACCGTGGGGACCGTTGTGGATTGCATTCTCTTTGCCACCCCTTCTCCCCTAGATAAAAAATTAGGAAATAAGGTATGTTACATGCTATGGGCTAGGGTTAGGGTTAGGGATTAGGATACTTTGCTGCAAGACACCATGGAAGCCGGTAGGTGGTGTGGCACTAAAATATTAAAGGGGAAGCTTTCCCTTCCTCAAGTTCTCTGATTGGAAATGGAAGATTGCATATGGGGAGTGGAAATACTCAACCTGTCCGATCAGCTGGATCAAGAAGAGAAGGAAGAGCTGAGGGGACCATTGTTGCTCCTTTTTACCTTACATAAGGATTATGAGGGATTTTGTGAAGAAATTATGGATATTAAGCAAATGCAGATTTATTCTGTCTTAGAACTTGAACCTCTACAAATATACTGTCATGGTCTGTCTTTTGTTCCCTCTTGTGCTCCTGTTTTATTTTGAAGTTCAGTGTCTTGTATTTGTGTATCCCCTGCCTTTGTTGTAACCTTTTCTGTGTGGCTGGTTTTCCTGTGTTACTTCTGATGTCTCTGGATTTAGTTTGCCGGTAAAAATAAAAATTATTGTTTAGTGTTAGTATTTGGGTACTTTTCTCCACAATTCCTGACACATACACGGTTCATGAGATATACAGAATTTTTCTGGTACGACAGCATACAGAAGGTTTATACAGATAGATGTATGTCATTTTGTCTGCTGTGGGGAAAGCATGTCACTATTTTGGAATAAAAACTATTTAATGTGGGTATCCCTGAAATTATTACATTGATAATCATTTTGGTCTACAAAAAATACAAGAAAATGTCAATATTGTGTCATCAACACTTTAGATAATAACCAAATATCACAGTTAAGAGATGCCTAACATAATGATATGCCTTCTTGGTATAGTAAGTGTGTCCTCACTGTTGTGCCACGTACATATATTTATTTTAGTAAAGATTTTTTTAATTTGTGCAATTCTCACACGGTAATGTCCTTGTACAACATAGGAAGTCTTTACAGTTCTTAATACTCTTAATAAGGATTTGCATCAGGTCCCTCTGAGTAGGGGACTTGAACTCACTCAATCATACAACCAACTGACATCACTGTAGACAACTTTTTGTTCTGTTGTTATTTACTGCAGTTTTCTGCAATGTCTTTATTGTTTGTGTTTATTTTAAGAAGCACCATCCTGCCTTGAGCTCGTGACCTATGGTAAACTTATACTGAAGTAGCACCAGATCTTTTCACTTTCAGTCTGCAGGGTTACTATACAAGTGTGTGTGTGGTCATGTATTTGTTACCTGGTGGGAACAATTTCCCAGAAAAATGCTAAATTCTTTGGGACTTGTGGGGAACAACAACTAGTCCCATGAGGAAAGTATCTTTTCTTGGGGTGGGGGTTGGGTATAGACTAAGCCGTGACTTGTGCCATAATTTTCTTCAACTGAAGAAAGACAAAACTGAAGTAATAATCTTTGGACCAATAGAGGAGAGATCTAAAGTTAGCACACAGCTTCAG